TTGGGGCTGAATTGCAAATGTCTCTCTTGTGAAGAGAGGAGAAAGAGACAGCTGTATTTAGACACAATTTAAAATTATGCTGATTTTTGGTACTGATTGCTTAATCTTTAGTGTAGTGGTTAGATAAAATATTAATGTAGTGAACCGGGTTCAAGGCTCCGTTGCTCTCTTTTTCTTTGGTGTTCCTTTTTTTTTCTTTTATTAACGACTTAAAAATGTAATTTAAAGTTCCCCAATGTGTAGGATTCATGACTTGTCCCACTCACAATGAATGCCTTTGATGTAGCTTCACCCCCGAAATGATTACCCAAGACAATTTCCAAAACTTTTAATCTTTGTTGTAGGTGAAGGAAAGTGTTTGTATGTTTGAGGTCACAAGGTTATATTAGAGGCTACTTTTCAGTTAAGTTGTAGTCAAATTAATAAAATACTAAGTATTAGCATAGGGAACTATTGTTACTATCACTCATTCAGTAAGTTTACTCAGCTTCTTCAGCTCTTTGATTCAGCTGTAGATGTTCATCACGAAGTATATGTACTAGCACATCTGCAATTTGATTTTCTTCTCCTGAAATTGGCACTAATTCATATTTCCCTCGACATTCTTCAGAACTATCCAAGATTTCTCTCAGTTTACGGATAAACAGAACCACCTATCAGCACAAAGCATTTGTTTAGAAATATGATAGAGTTTATAAGTAACACAATAATATTTGAAGCTGTATTAAAATTAATGCAGAACAAATGTTTTTCTCTTCTGCTTGATGGACCCTCCTCGCCCTTAATAGAGATAGTTATCAAAACTTATACAAGGCCAAGAAAGGCTGTTGTATATTCGGCCATAAAAATATTGTTGCTTCCATTGTACTTAAACCAGGTTCAGACACAGCATACTTCACGCAAGCCAAATCAAATTTGAATTTAGGTCAGTTGCATTGATTCAGATGCCATTATTTTTCCAGCTGAACTTAATTCAGAAGGGGAGGGAATACATTGTCATTTACAATTATAAATACTATAAAACTTTATGCATTTGGCTCGTCTCGTATGATGTTTGGCATCTGAATCAAAACTAGTCCATGGCCCTTTTTTCCGGGTGAGCCAATCCAAATTCAATTAGCCATTTGTACCTCTCTGTGAAAAAGGCAGGACATCTTTCACAGAAACTTTGTGGGTGGTGATAAAATAAAAAAAAACCTATTGGATGAGGTTTTTGTGATATCCAGAATAATCTAGGTCAAAGCTGATGGCAATAATATATTAATTATTAAAATTGAGGCCTTGATCTGATTCCAATTATAATTACAAAAACTGAATTTAATAATAAGCCATTAAATTTAATCTCAGTTCAAGAAACCGTCACTTTCAAAGTGAGGCGAAATGCAAAACCTTTGTTCTAAAATGAGTTTTATTTGCTTATAAAAATAAAAAAAATAATTTTCGTATCAATGGCTTTACGCTAAGCCTCACTTTGGAACATAGACTTGAAGCAACTCAGAAATGGCGTATTGTCATTGTCATACTTGTACCTTGTTTTCAAGAAAATAATGACAGATACACCATTGCATGCATCACAGCTTGACCCTTAAAATAAGCACGGCCGCACCAGCACCTTTATTTCCACATATCCTGAAAATTGCACGCATGGCTAGTATGCACTGACCTCACCAACACTTTGATCTCTTGGGCTTTTTAGCTAGCTCGCCCCAACAAAACATAAGTGGTAGAGTGATCAAACCAAAAATTTGTTGGCCCGGGCGTACAGTTCTATGGGCTGGCTATGCCCCTGAGTAGGCTCTTGGTTAGTGAAAAGACAGATAGTGGTACAATGTAGTATGTACTTGAGTCTCGATTGACAATTTTGTAGGAGATGTTTACCAAGCTAAAATCAATCTCCTTAAATTTGATAAAAATAGAGGACAAGTAAGGCCACTTTGAGGCCTTTCATCGCAGAGTTTAAAGGACTTCTGTCCAAATGACAGGACTTACCGTAAAATTCCAAAAATAAGCCCCGGGACTTATATTTTTCAAAGGCCCCTTTTGAGGGGCTTATTTTTGGAGGGGCTTATATTCGGAGGGGCGTATCTACGGAGGGAAACTTGCGTTTCAAAATTGATTGGGCTAGCCTTATAGTTGGAAGTAAATTTACTGTTTTTGCTTCGTTTTACTTTGCATTTGAGGGAAATTTTTCAAGTACAAGCCCCTGGGGAGCTTATATTTGGAGGGGCAATTTAACGGAGGGTCTTTTTGTGTTACCGGTTTGGGGGGCTTATATTTGGAGGGGCTTATTTTTGGAATTTTACGGTATTGCATAATTATACCCAAAGAATGAATGCTTTGCCCCGCAACATTTTTTTTAAATACAGCCAGGGAAAGGAGGCCTCATGCTAATAGGGGAATTTTTTTAACATGTTGACATTAGATTTAGAATTACCTGCTCATCTCGCTCTTGGCAACTCACTACACCCTCCCTTGGATCAGACATGGCATACAAGGACCTCAGGGGAACAGCATACTCTACAGCCACATGAGGCGGTTCCGGATTAATCGTTCCATCTGGGCGTAGTATCTCTATTCGATGCACGCTGGTTTTGTACTTAAGTTTCGATACTCCACCTCGACTGCTCACAGTTAAGGTGAGATTATCAACAAATTTCATTCTATGGTCTGCCTTCTCAATGCTATCGTATATGTAGCATGTTTTGGGTATCAAAATAAACAGCTTGTGGATCGGAATCAGGTACTTGTAATCCGTCTGTCCGATCCTCTCAGCAAGAATTGGAAGAACCATCTTCAAGTAGCCAAAATAGTAGCCCCAAGCTAGACCATCAGCCACATTTTTGTTATTATTTTCGTTGATCTCTGATAATTCCACGCTAGAAATTTCTCGTAAGCCAATAAGAAACAATAAAAGTGGTGAAAGAAAGCAGTTGAGCGAGAAAAGGATCGCGTATTCTGAACGGCAACATGTGTTACAATGCTCGTACAAGAAATAAAACACAAAAAGAAGGGAAGCAATACAAACTACCAGAACAGTTCGGCCATGTCTGAAAGTGAAAGTGGAAGTAAAAACCTTTTTCCAACTTCCTTTATATCGAGTCTCCTTGTGGCGAATTTCTTCACTCACCAAACACAGTCTTCGCACAAGCTCGCCGAGGACGAAACTCAGAATGAGAAGGGCAAAACCAAAGAGCAGAAAATGGAATTCGACTCTGCCTTCTTTGTCTTCCGAAGAATAAGCGATTTTAAAGTAAACGCAGTGAACGGCACCAGACAAAACGATCAGAAATGACGCAGTTATGACGGAAGTCCTTCCGCGAAGCTTCGAAATTGGTCCAAATCCATTATTTTGCTGCTGGGGATCCATCCTGTAGGAAACTGAAAATTCGTTGTTTTTAACTTTGAAAATTGAGGTGCTGCTGAAATCGGGCTTGAAAATAAAGGGCATTCCCCATTTTCAGTTCATGACTTGTGATTGGCCGCGCGCAACACGATGGATTGGCAACAGTTACCGAATATGCTCGAATTTACAGCGCCTGGTGCCAAAATTTGAAAACCAGAAGAAGTCGATAAGAATAAAACTAATTATAATAACCAGGATAACAAACAAATCAAAGCAATAAGAAATACTAGAATGATTTGTCTGATTTTGTGCCCCATAATTACTCATTTTTTTCCTTCGTGGGTGGCTTAGACCACCAACGAAGACCCGTGAATTTCAAATAAAAAATATGGGGCTTTTGTTGTTGCTGTTTTGTTTTTTTTTTCTTCTCTTCGCCATAACGATGCCAAATTGCTTTTGTGCCTTCAACTTTGAACGGATGGGTGTAGCTACCTTTCACACCTTATACGCCTGAAAACACGTGCTGAAAAGTAGCCTGAAATTCATCCGATTGCTTCGAGTCGTTTTCTCCTCTCAACAAGAGGGAGTAATAACGACTCGAAGTAATCGGATGAAATTCAGGCTAATAACGACTCGAAGTAATCGGATGAAATTCAGGCTAGCTGAAAAGATGTCAAAAATAGACAAGCGAAGCAAGGAAAAGAAGGTAAATAAGAGATAGAGAAGCCGAAAAACTATGAAAACGCTGAAACATTGCTGCCAAAGATTAAGAGAGATAATTAGCTCAGCAACCTGACAGAAAACAAACCAAAACAAACAAAAAAGTGAAGTCTCCTGCCTGGAAACGATTCACTGGAGATGGTGCCTGAGAGTTGGCTTGGAATACTGTGCGGCCCTCTAGAGAAAAAGGGTGGATCCAGGTTTTTTTCAGGGGAGAGGGGACCAACTTGGGCACTCGGTTGAAGTCAATAACTTCCATCCTTTCACGCCGTTACACTGGTTTCCACTTCGTTAATGGTACGCACAGTACACGTGGTAAAATAACTTTTCTCAGATCCTAAATCAAATCTTATACTTGACCTGTAACGTGAAACGCAAGTTTTATTTTTAAGGTACAAGCTGAAAGCGACGCTTAAGAGGTTATTTCAATTTCCTAGTAGTTAGCTAAAAAACGTTAAGACTGAGATCTTTGGTTGTCTTTACACTAGGCTGTTAAGTAAGAATAATGAGCTGCTAAGTTTTACTTAACCAAAAATTCGTGTGTGAAGGCCTAAGTAAAATCTCAAATAACTTTACTTTGCATCTCATTAAATTCGGAAAGTTGAAACGATTCAAGAAAGTTTCAAGCGACTTGAAAACCATCCTTAAAACCGACTTGGCTGACTTGCG